AAGGATAAGTAGGCTGGCAGTTCAGGAAACACAGATGGATATGCAGTTGAACTTAAAATAAGATACCTTCTGGGTACCTCATGTTCAACACCAGATTTATCTGTAAATTTGTTCGATACGATCATTTCACGGGGAAGACACTGATGACGACACACCACACTGTATTTATTAGGCGACCAATCTTTACGTGGTATGCACTTTTTCCATTTATCTCTCATTTCAAAATCATTTGGGAATTTGAATACAGTTACATATTCACTCGTCGATTTATAATTAGATTTACATAAAGGAATACTGCATTTCCTAGGCATTTTCATTAATATAATCACACTCCACAAAACAAAGATCTGGAAAGATCTGTGGAAGGAGGGATAGAGGAAGACAACAGGAGAAGATTCTTGGCAGTCTTTTTGCATGGCATGGAGGTGTTTCAGCACACGAACTGATACATGCTGCTGGAGATCGCGGATTGTGGAGAGGCTCTCTCTCTCTAACTCTCTCTCTCTCTCTCTCTCTCTCTCTCTCTCTCTCTCTCTCTCTCTCTCTCTCTCTCTCTCACTCTAACGCTTTTTAAGCGGTGTTTCCCCCCCCCTCCCCCCTCCCCCCATCAAATAAGGAAAAATTAACATTTCTTAAAAGGACATGGTATGTGCGTACCACATTTAAACATCTTACACCCAACAGTAATTGTATTTGAGATTTTAAAAGTTGGACAGGACTTACAAAAGGGGCTAAAGTTTCCTTAGTAAAGTAAGTAAAGATTCCTTTTCACGCCTTTAGGCGCATCGGGAATATGGGAAGAGCACCCATATTTTTACAGACCATTCGACACTAGGTGGGTAGTGTGGTCAGCATTACGCTGGCCGTCTTTACTTCACCACGACATACATCCTGATACCCATTTTAGGCTGGGTCGACCTGCGACGCCCCATACCACGATAAAAATCCAAGCAGCCAGCAGTGGGTTTCGATAGCGGTATGTTGGAAGTACAAGTCGGACTCGCAACGCCTAAGCCACGGACGCCGTTGTGTTTATAGATAAATGATTAAGTGTGGTGTTTATCTTACCCTTAGTTGCGTCACCAGTCTTATTTTTCCCGCCCCCAACTTCAGTATGCCATGATAACGGTCGAAATCAGTTTCCCGAGAAAAGAGCGGTATCTGAGAACTGCATGATACAGCAGCTGCCGGTTAGTCTAACAATTATTGGTTTGGATATCAACAAGAAAGGATCCGCAAAAGTGATGGAAGATTTTTAGTTTGTATGTTATTTATGTTAAATATTTAACCACTGCACCGATAACAGTTTTTATCTTGTTCTGTTGTTTTCTGCTTCGATCTTTAGCATCAGATATCAGGTAACCACAGTTGCAAATTATTAGCAAACGGGTTACCCCATTGTTGCTCCGTTCCTGTGCCAACGAAAACTACACGGAACCTCCATCACTATCCTTTGTTTTCTCTGGGGTGGCGCCCCTGCTGTGCTTATCTTATGGATGTTAGTGGAGTATGGGTTCTAGTCAAGAAAAACGACTGATGTACTCTTTACAGTTTATCTACCTCAGCTACGGGGGTGAAGAAAGGGGGAGGGGGCACGAACGATGTCAACCCCAGCTGGATACGGTTGGAGCCAACGTGTATTACCATTCCAGTTAACCTTTGTTGTTCTGTAGACGTTGGTAAATAGATGTAGCGGTGACACTAGGTTAGTTCATGGGATAAATATATCAGCGAGTGAGTGAATGTTGAATATTGAATTAGGAATCGACATCACATCACGGGGCACTCCCATAAGTGCTCAGTCCCCATCTTCAACAGCAAATGAAGAGTTCCAATTCCGATGGTACTAGTAACCGTCTGATTGTATATCCGTCTCGCCTATTCCTTAAGTGTTGAGCGTCGGCCAGATCCCCTGGTAACTCCTCGTAGTGCCATTCTCCTCAGACCGTAATGATCTATTTGCGCCTCCGCACTGTTCACCCGTTCCCAAAGGGCCCTCACAATATCTAATACATCAATTCACTACAAAGTGTTGCAGAGCCAGCCAGTCTATCTGCCTGCTCATTTCCCAATACACCAGCATGACAAGTGTGGGTGAGATACCTGCCAATATAACCTTGTAAGTTGCGATGATAGAGTTCCTATGGTCAATATAGAGCCACTCCTGATGTAGAGCAAAACAAATCCTGAACAGTTATCAGATTATTATTATTCTCCTCCCCATTCGCCTTTTTTGTTCTCTTCTCTTCTTTTTTAAATTTATATATCATCATCATCACGTAGCAGGTCACTTGCAGAACACCGCTCTCATCACGGTCTGCCTGAAAAAAACTCGGTCTCTCGCCAGCTCTTCCGCCTCATGTACTTTCATACTCAAGGAGTCACTTATATCCTGTGCCCATCTTCGTGTTGGTCGGCCCCGCCCCTCCTTCCTGGTACCATGCCTTCAGCTATAATCTTTTCCAATCACTCGTAGCGCTTGATATGACCAAAATATTTCATCTTCCGAATATATATATACATAATGCTGCTTCTGACTGACTTTCTACCCCACTATGACATCACACAAGCGATAAACACCCGATGACACAATGTGCCACCATGTGGGTGAGGATCACCGTGGAGAGGTCCCAGAAACCGCGTTCAGACAATTAGCCATATCCATGGCCTGCCTATATTGCGGCCCCTGGCAAAAGCCAGGGTGGGGCTTCAAAGAACAAAAAAATGTCGTCCTTAACGGGACGAAACTGGATGCAGGTAGTAATGACTGACTTTCTACCCCACCAGGACATCACACAAGCGATAAACACCCGATGACACAAAGTGCCACCATGTGGATGAGGATCGCCGTGGAGAGGTCCCAGAAACCGCGTTCAGACATTTGGCCATATTTATGGCCTGCCTTATTGCGGCCCCTTGGGGCTTCAAATCTTCATCCTAAAAAGGACGAAACTGGATGGCTTAATGTTTTTCTTCTTCTTCTTCTTCTTCTTCTTCTTCTTCTTCTTCTTCTTTTTTCTCCTTCTTTTTCTTCAACGTCGTCTTTTTCGTATTCTCTTCTTCTTTCCCTCCTCTACCACATATGACCTTATTATTTTTGATAATCTTCATTTCCTTCTTCTTCTTCGCCCCCCCCCCTTTCCTCCTTTTCCACCTCCTCTTTTTCTCTTCCTTCTCCTCCTCTATTTGTTATCTCCCATTATAACAAAGTCCCACAACCAATTCAGACTAAACGGCCAGTATTTAACTGTGTTTATTTTAACGAAGTTGTATGCACCAACTTAGCTTTCCATTTTTACAGTAATCTTCATGTAAGAACTGATCAAAGGACGACACCATGAGAAAGATGCTCTTTCATCCCGGCAGGAAATCACATAAACAGAAAGACAAGGGGCAGACAACTCGACAGGGAACCGAAAACAGCGAAGTTCGTTTCAGAGATGAGGATATTGAATCTGGTAAGACTAGATTACAGCCTACAGTAATGGCACGGCATATGTTTTTGCGAAAATTATTGACACCTAGAGAGATACCCGTCAGCGAACATGCTTTGTAATTCCGAGATACTCGGTTCTACTCCAGCTACAGACGATTTGACAGCAGACCGCTTTGCGTTGATTTTTACGATGGTATCAAAAGCCGTCGGTTTATGGTCAAGGGCAAACGACTGAACGTAATTGCTTAATAAAGGCACACATACACAAATGCAGGGATGAGCTCTACGACATTATGAGAATGTTCAAATGTTGGCCACGTCATATATCTAGTGATCAAATTTCCATTCTATCGGCCACATCACATATCATTCGACCATGGTGTATGGAGCAGAAACTTGGACAGGTAATTTGGAAATAGTAGGTAGGTAGTTGTACCCCACCAGGACATCACACAAAGTGCCACCATGCGGATGAGGATCTCCCATGGAGAGGTCCCAGAAACCCCCTTTCATTCGTTAGGCCATATTTATGACCCGGTTATATTCAGGGCCCCCGGCAAAGGCCAGGACAGGGCTTCAAGATAAAATAAAAAAATGCGTCCTACAAGGGGATGACTTAATAGTTTCAATTGAAAATAGTATTGTATCTTTGAAGATGTTTGTATACAGAAGAAAAGATTTCGTGGAAACAAAAACAATAAGAGGCATAGCTTCTGAAGATAATAGGAATTAAAATGGAATTTCTCAAGGAAACATATTTTTTTAAGAGACTTGGAAGCAAGAACAAACAATTATATAGGTTTTGAACAGATTAGGAATGAAAATGGTGTTGCTGAAGAAAATATATATATATATTTTTTTATTTTTTATGGGAGACAAGTGAAGACCAAATCTTATTTCAACTATATTAGAGAGAAAAGTTGAAGGCGAACAAGCAAGAGGCATACATCGATACATGTGGGATGAAATGAAGATTTTAAAGTTAGACATGTACTAGCTGTAGTAGCAGAAGCAGCAGTGATGGTGATGGTAGTGGTGATAGCAGCATCAGTAGTAGGAATGGTAGTGGTTGTAGCAGCAGCCGTAGTCGTGGCAATAGCATAGTGTGTGCCCTTATTTTTGTTGTTGATGATGATAAAATACATGCTTACATCTGTGTGACTGCTCTCACTTCCTCCTTTCCTCCAGACAACGCCAGAGAGGTTCGACCACTACCATTCGGGGACAAAGGACTTCAGAATGGCGCCGCTCCAAGCTTGGAGAAAGTTTCCAGTCAGTCTGTTCAAAGCAGCATGGATGCTTCCATTGTCACACACCAGTCCGTTCTACGTAGTCACAAGCAAGACAGGAGCTACAGTGCAAACAGAGACTCGGGTATTTCCTCAATCAGCAACAGTTCGGCAACCAGCAACATTTCAGCAGCCAGTACAATTTCAGCAACAAGCGACATTTCAACAACTACCAACATTTCAGCAACTACCAACATTTCAGCAACTACTAACATTTCAGCAATTACCAACACTTCAGCAACTACCAACACTTCCTCCGATGAAACATCAGACAGGTGTCTACAATCGGACCTTCATACCAAATATGACAGTTGTCTGAAACACCCACAACACGAACATTTTATCCCTATTTTCCTGCTCAGCGTCAATAATATGCCAGAAAACTTCCAGCAACCTAGCTGGGTTAAACTCATCAAACTGAAAGGCGTTGATGTTGTTCGGTTAACTGTTGCGCAGACCAGTGATACTCGGCCAGACGAACTAGGTTTCAGAGGAACAACAGCTGTTCGATTTGGTACAGGGACGGCTTTTGTACATAACATGGAGCAAACCGAGTTATGTGGATGTGCAGTTGGAAATTCCGGACATCTTTGTAGTGGGGCCTTTCTGGTAATGACGGCGGCTCATGTTGTTTATAATGATTACGAAGCTAGAGCAACCACTGTAGATTTTTTCTATGATAGCATGGATGTGTCCACAATTGTTAGGGCTTGGGGCGTGCGAGTAGTGACCGTTGATGTGGACAGAAACCGGTCTGTCGTCGAATGTCGGACACATGATCTTAATTTGTGTCATACGTTAAAAAAAGCCCAAAACGAACGAAACAAAATTATAGAAACAGAATTAGAACCTGCAGTTGGCAGTTCCCAAATGGCTGTAATAATATCCCACCCTCACGGTTTGTGTAAACAAGTATCTTTTGGAAACTTAAAAACAAAAGAATTGGTGGGCGTGGTCAAGACAACTAAAGACGGTATGCAATTGGCTGATTGCCTACTTACCTACGACACGCCTACGTGTCCTGGGTCGGGGGGCGGACCCGTGAATGTAATGGGAGGCGGGACTGTTAGTTATGCTTTCGCCCCTCACTGCGCCTCTAAAGACAGTGGCGAAAACTTAAGTGGACTTGGCTGGGCGAGGGTAATTTGATTTTTTTTTTTTTTTTTTTTTTGGTAAAATCTGAGAAAGTGCAAGAAAACACAAATCTCTTAAAATGTCGATTAAATCGGACTACCTTTTATTTAAAAAAAAAAAAATACAATGGTAGCTTGGAAGTCGAACATAATCAACTCTGAAATAGTTCACAGGAAGTTAACCGGGCCAACAAATGCTCGGTTAAGACGATATGTCGGCCGAAATGCGCTGATATCGCACCTCTGCTGTAAACAGGTACAAGCAGTTACATCACTCGAGCGAACTAAAGGTAGAAGACGGCGTTCGGATTCCAATAGTTTTGAGCTTTGCCTTCGAACTCTGAAGTACCACTGTAGATCAATAACAGTTCTATACCTCTAGTATCGTAAGGAAGGAATAAATAGCCACACCCTGGTATGCCCTTCAATCAAATTACTATGTTTATGAGGACAGGTCGATTCTACTGCGATACGGGTTAGAGCACTGTGTCTCTGGCCACACTAATTGTTATTCATCCATCATAAGTAATTAGAACGACTTTTTTTTTTATCCTTCATGAAACTATAGTTGACTGAGTCCGGAGGTGACATATAAGCCCAATACGTGTCCGGCAGAATCTAGGATAATAGGGGTAGGGAACAGTGTTTGTGGGTAAAATGCCTGTTATAGGGTGTGTTTTTTTTAGCCTGCCTGCGTTGTTTTGTTGCTTTTTTTTATAGACGTTTGCCATACTGTTTATATGGAAGTTTCTAAGTGATGCTTTCACTTTGTCCTTGCAGTGCTTTTTTTCTCGCTGTCATGGAGCGTCTGCCTTCTTGTACTTGTATCACACCATACAAAATTTGTTTGAGAAGCCGATGGTCCGATATGCGAACTACGTGACCTGCTCATTGAATCTGTGACCGCATCCGGGTGGTATCGATGCTGGGAATACTGGTATCCGGAACTCTGTCGTGCCACTTCAGTTATTTTTCTCAGACTTTATGGAAGTGGTAAGTGCCACACTATAAAGTGACTGACTGACCTTCAACTCCACCAGGACATAACATCAAGCGATAAACACCCGGTGACACAAAGTGCCACCATTCGGATAAGTATCACTCAGGGACAGGTCCCGGAAACCCCGTTCACCCCATAGGTTGGGTTATATTAGGGCCCCCGGCAACAGCCAGGGTGGAGCTTTAGAACAACAAAATTGTGTCTGACATTGGGATGCGGTCTTAACACGGCCGACCCGAGCATTATAAAGCTGGCGCTGCCCGCGGGTCTCTCTCTCTCTCTCTCTCTCTCTCTCTCTCTCTCTCTCTCTCTCTCTCTCTCTCTCTCTCACTCACTTTCTCTATCTCACTCACTTTCTCTATCTCTCTCTCACTCTTTCTCTCTCTCACTCTCTCTCATTCTCTCTTTTCTCTCTCTCTCTCTCTCTCTCTCTCTCTCTCGTTAAATTTTTGGTATCCACACATACAACACACTGGTCTGCAACATCTGCTTACAGCTCTCCCTGACTTAATCTCTCTCTCTCTATCTCACTCACTTTCTCTCCCTCTCACTCACTTACTCTCTCTCTCTCTCTCTCTCTCTCTCTCTCTCTCTCTCTCTCTCTCTCTCTCTCTCTCTCTCTCTCTCATTTTCACGCTCTGTCTCACACGCAACAGTAGCATTTGTCTGTAGGAAACTTCTCACACAACGTGCTATCTATAATCGAAATAACAAGAAAATATAAGCTCTGCTGCAAAACGTGCGCGTACACACATACTAGCATACATACACAGTCTTATGAGTATAAACGTCTAGGCGCAGCAGTACATATGAATACCCTTTTCTAGATTAATCTTTTCTGTTGTTTCCCCTTTGAAGGTTTTCCTTTCCTGTAATGTCTTATTTTTTTTTCATTACAGTGTTTCTGTTGTTCTCTCTTCTGTCTATCTTCGCCTTTCCTTTATATCAGCTTTCACTCATCTTTATTCATGTGTCTGTATTTATTAATGTGTGCACTGATATTTTTTTTTTCCAGCTCCTGCACTTGTAAAACATGTTATTGCAAACAGGTCTCTATTTCTTTCTGTTTTTTTTTTTTTTTTGATGACGTAACTCCAGTCTGTGACATTCCTTTCTGACAGGTCTTGTAATATTCTCTACCTTTCACTTCGAAAATTTGTCTTGTTTTTTGCTCTGTAAGTATTTATTTTTAGGTCGCCCTGTTTACACCATTTGCCTCGGCATGAACGAATCATCGTAATCTTTGTATAAAAGTCCTATCATCTCCAGCCATCCTGAATTATAATGTTAATTTTCTTTTCTTTCATTCTATTTTATATTATTACTATATTCTATCTCTTATCAGTATCATTTATGTATCATTAACATTTGTATTTTTTTAATTCCCAGTATTATATTATATATTTACAATACTTATGTTTTTTTTTTTTTTTTGACAATATTTTTTAGCCATCGTTTATTTTATTTCATTTATTCCTCACCACATTTTTTTTAAACGCTGCTCACGTCACCCCTTAGAGATCTACATACTCTCCTCTCCTCGTTGTTATGTTTGTATAGTTCACTTATGTTTGAAAAAGGCTGCCCGGCCGAAACGTTACGTTGTCTTTTGTGCACGTTTTTCTGCTTCCCCATTTTGTTAAGTTTTTTAGTCTAATTTCTCTGGAATTCCTGTTTATTAGCTTGACTGCAGTCACCCCCATATTTTCACCATTTTTGAATTATAATTGTATAGTAGTCTTATGTATGTGGCTTCTGCTCCCAGCACTAAGATGTACGGTTTTTCTTGTTATTGCTTGAGTTAGTCGGAATTTTATGTATTTTCCCCCAGCTTTGAAAATTATTATTTCCCGTGTGTGTTCCGAGTCCTGTTGTGGTGGTGGGGGGGGGGGGAGGAGAAAAAGAATAGACCCATTGCCTCTCCAACAAGTATGTCGTAAAAGTTGACTAACTGGGAACTTCCTTCGAAGTCGAGTGCATCTGCTTGAGAGGCAAGTAACCAACAGTCTGCAAACACATAAGTCAGATCTGTAAATTTTTCTGCAACAGGACTATAGTCCAGAAGTGGACGAACAACCAGAACTTTTCACTGGTGTCGTCTACAGCTAGCGAACGCGAAGGATAAGAAGACAGTTATTATAACAATTAACTGTATAGCCTAATATAAATAAAATAATGTTATATTTCGCATATTGCACATGCTAGAAATTATATATTCCTAATATTCTTTTTTTTTTAATTTTTATTTCTTCTTTTTTTTTATGTCTTTTTTTTAAAAAACTATTTTGACACCTATTAGTAAATAAATGTTGCACGTTTGTTTACCCACTAGCTGCTCCAAAAATCGCATCATTGCAGCTCAAACCAAATAAATCTGGTCAGTTTCTGTTCATTTCTCCTTCCTACAACCCAGTAGTGCTGCAGAATTTCGTTTCCATGGGATTATTTAATGGAACCATGAAAACTTTCTTGTTAAATTTCGGTAAACTTATGCTAAATATATCTAGACTACTTCTCCTCTTTTCACATTCTTACAACGCATTAGCCCGTTTGCGTGTGACTGTTGCATTGATTTTTAAAAAAGAGTGGGGGGGGGGGGGGTCTCAATGGGCAAGCTCTTGCCACGCTGTCTTAAGAACGGGGGTTTGTTCATGGTTGCGTCGTTAAGTTTCAGACACCACCCTCTCCAGAATGTTAATGATTAATTTTTACGGAGATCCTAAGGGATCGTCACTGGAGCTACATAGCTCGTGCGTTGTGCGACGATCTTAGCAGGTAGCTAGTCGTTCTGCGGAGAGACTGGGCCATTTGTGATAAAACCCAGTGCAATAAAGTCGATACTCTTGATTTTAATTTTGCATAAAAATACGATAAACAAATTATTCTTCACAAAAGAAACTCGTCACATCCAAGATAGCCTTAACCAATGTTTCCCAAATCTTTCTTGATCGTAGCCCCTTTTTTCAATTACAATTTTTCCACGGCGCCCTATCCTAAGTAAAAGTACGACTATTCGTTTCTTGGTTAAATTTATTTGAAGCTTTTACAATATTTCGTGGCGCCTCTGTAAAGGCGCAGTTTTGGAATCACTTCCGTAAGTGGTTTGCGCTGTATTGCATTATTAGTTTTCTTTGTTTTAGATGTTTCTTGCAAGTAGATTTTATAGAATAATTTTAGCATTCAACACACGTAAGTTCTTCTGTAGATTTGGCTTGAAATTTCTAGCTATGGTAGGCAGTGTTTGCTACCAGGAGGAGTTGTTTTATTTGTTGTGTCTTATAGTGTATTAAGAGCATTCACAATATGTCCCTCTCCATCTGGTACACACATACACTCACTCTCTCTCTCTATCTCTCTCTCTCTCTTTCACCCGCTCAGTCTTAGTATCTCTATCTCTCTCACACACACACACACACACACATACACACACTGTCTCCCTCAAATCACATAACCGTTTCGCCATTCAGCACATACTGACCCACAGAGCATGTTGAGAAAGGTGAAGACAGGCATGCTTCGTGCAGAGTGGCAAGCATCACTTCAGAGGTCCCGGGTAGTTAGCATCCATTTGATAATTTCTCCATATGCCGGTGGGTTGGGGAAAGAGCAGGCAGATAGATTGTCTGGTTCTGCACCACTTAGTGGTGAATTGATGTATGACAAGTTGGTATTTTGAGGGCCCTTTACGAGAGAGTAAACAGTGTGGAGGCACAGATAGATCATTATGGTCTACAGAGAATGGCGCTGCGAGGAGTTACCAGGGGATCTGGCCGACGCTCAACACTCAAGGGAAGGATGAGACAGATATGCAATCAGACAGTTAATGGTACCATTGAAATTGGAACTCTTTGCTTGCTGCTAAAGATGGGGATTGAGCACTTATGGGAGTGTCCCCAGTGCCCTGATGTCGATTCTTAATTTAACATTTAACATACTTGTTGTCATTATTAAGCACTTAAACAAGGCTTAGTTTGCTTGAACACCCCCTCCTCTACCTTCCATCCCCAAAAATGTGG